TTATACGATTATAGCCTTGTGATTTTCTGAGATCTGCTGTCTTTTTTGCAATTGGTTTTATTTAATTATGGTGTGGGGAGAGCGTGTGATTTAGTTATAAGGGTACAAGAGGTACGTGTATTATTTTTTAGAAGATTTGGTTTGTGTTTATATTGATTACAATTATGACAAGAATATTTCTAGTTATTTCTTTCTAACTAAGTTCTTATATCAAGCAAACAGGTGTCATTCGATATTAGGTACAAAAATTGTATTCCATTTGCGTTAAAATTAAGACCAAGTATTGTTTCTCCATATTCGTAGTACCTACCTCTGCTTTTTAACATATTTTCGGAATTTTCGACTACATCCCTGTATCCCGGTTCAAGATCCGTATACCCGGGATTTACGGTTATCGCTACCCGGGTTGCGTTCAATCACAACCTGGGAACTTAATACTTAACGCGTCTATTGCAAGCTCATACGTTTTTAGTACTCAATTATTTATATATTTTATTTTTATTGATCACACTGAACGTGATTTGAAAGAAACTTAGCAATTGGGGGTTAAATTTATTAAAGTTTACGGTTTTAAATTTTTGTCCACGTATTTTTTGTGTTTGCGCACTGTGTATAGTGATGTTCCAATTTTAGAAGTTTGAAATCTAAAGTAAAAATTAAGTTCCATTTATAAAATAAAAACGAAACAATTGACGTTCGCTTTGTATACCGCAATTTTTTATAAAAAAAAAACAAATTTTCTGTTTTATAGTCTTTATTTTACCTTCATGCTACATCAGAAATGACCTCGAAAACCGAAAGTTACACAAAAATACACCCTACAATCAAAAAGATAACGACTGTTGTAAAAATCTGTGAACATCGTCTAAGATCGTAACGTCTACTATTACTAGTTTATCATCCATAACCTCTGAGAGCCTTACAAAAGTAAAATGTTCTATAAAAAGCTTAAATGAAAGTTTTTATGATGTACCAAATGAATTTTGTAGTTGGAAGTCGTTTTTTTATATTATGAAGTCGTCATTAAGAAGTCTAGAGGATTGATTGCAATGGACTTTAAAACTGAGACTGTTTTTTGAAGCTTTTAGATGTTTCACTTAGGTACCAAACGGGTATAACTAAAACTTCAGGTTTAACACTAAAATCAATTCTAACAAGAAGAGTTTTAATAATGAAACAATATGAGTTTAGATATCTCTTAAAATAGTATTTTCTTTTAATACCTAGACTTTAATACCTATAATTTGCAAAATTATCTACCTCTGCTCACCCTATTACACACAAAACCATTCACCAACAATCAATCCAAACTTCAACACAAAATCAATAATTCAGAGATCTTGGAATTCATTCATTCTCCCCTTGAGACGTTCGCGAACAATTAAGGCTTGCGACGCACCCTTACCGCCGTATTGCGTGTAATTACGCACTTATTACCGTCCCAGAGAAGATTTTACGCACTCCGGTAAAACTTACGTGTTAAGAACTTATGACTCGTAATAAGTTCGTGTAAACTTGGGTTGCAGGAACTTTTTAAGGGACGTGTAATGGAGGATGGATGGCTTCAAATGTGTGAGGGTTTGTTTTGAAATTTGAAGTCGCATAAAAGTGAGGTTAGGACGACTTCCATTTTAAAAATGTTATTTAATAGAACGTCAAGTACATTTATCTACGTCGCAGTTTCCTAAAGACATATTTACACCTGTAAATACGTACTTTAAACGCGAAATACCAGCCGAACTCGATTACGACTACATCACACAATCAAGAATGGAACTCTGAACTTAATGCCCGACAATTTATGCCCCCACAAATTTATTCACGCTGCGTATAGGTAGTTGAAAAGGGGCTGAATACCAAAACATCACAATTTGCGAGCGCCACAAAGGAAACATCTTCCACAGTAAAAATCTGTAGAGTATCGTGAAGATGGAGAGACTAACGAGGTGGCCCCGCTACTCTGATTTCCAATTCAAAGGAAAATTGCGATGGAAAGGGTCGGTGGGGGGGAATGGAGGAGTGGGGGGCCCCCTCCCGTTGCTACGCGACGCGGGGTGGAGCCGCCGCAATCACGGCCCAATGGCACGACGGTTATAAATTGCTCTGCCGTCGCGACATAGCTGCCGGAGTGAGACGACCAGGCCTCCCGCTCGCACTAATGAAGTCGCCTCTCCGTAGCACCCTTGATTGACGGACTGGCCCTTTTTCGGTAGTAGTTAGGTATCAATGCTGTGCCGTGATTTGCCAGTAATAAAGGTGTGGTCACATTTTCCTGTTGTACACATAGATTGTCACGTGACGCGGTTTATTGCGCCTTGTATATCTATATACATGCCTGTATGCCAATTTGTTCGCACTCCCACTTATGATTCAGTCTTTTATACCTACCAATTAGATTCTTTGAAAATACTATGCCTTTGTGAGCTGCAGAATGTTATTGCTTACAAGAGACAAACACTCCCACATGTTGAATCATCCCAAAGTGAATTAAATAGATCCATTATTAGCTCAGTCGTTTCTGAGAATGCATTATATCCACATACCTATTTATAAACATGAAGGACATACCTACATATGCATTTAGTGTTCTTAGCAAATGAACTCCTAGATGTCATCATTTCAACGGTTTTTTTAAACTATGATTTATCAAGAAACATCATGGCGTCGATCTGTCATAAGTAAAAAAATCAGAACCTAACCAACTCATTTCGCGTTAAGCCTCTGAGTATTTTCTTCATACTATGTGTTAGTATACCTACATTACATAATTCCTAACAAACCCTCGGAGGGTATTTCTCCAAACAAAAGCTGAGATCAACAAAAGCAATATTAAATTCCTCTCTCGTAGGAATCGGGATGATGTGATAGAGTTTTAATACCTACGTCTTAAGTGGTTTTGGGTCTAGCATTCTAAAGTAAAAGGGAATTTGAAAAGAGATGAATATGGAGAAATACACCCCATGTCGTAGGTACATCGTTATTTCTCAAAGGATTGAACAGAGGTGCACAAATCTATTGTCTATTATTTAACACTGCCCTATACACAACCAACCCACAGCCATGTATTCTGATAGGACTTGTAAATAGGATAATAAACTTATATAAAAATGACTCAATCACTAAAACAATTTAAACTCTTAGCACACGTATATTAGATGTAGATAAGGATATAATACATAATTAGATTAAATCTCAAAGACAGTACCCATAATCTACTTTTAAAAAAGTATCCAAACGATATTAAAACAGACATAATTATCCAAATTCATTAGATACAACACAGTCATATCAAATGTTTAATTAAAAACCACATAATCAACTACAATACCAATACTTCTACATCTAGATATACCAAATAGAGAGACTTGCGAAAAGAAACAACAATTTTCCGAGCCAGCTAAAATAGTGAACTGTAGAATGTGTTAAGAATGCGTAATAAGGAACGGACGGCGCACAGATTACGCCGACGTGTGTCTTATACGATATTTTCTATGATATGAGAAGATACAGGGTATATAGCTATGTATGTTTTGCTGTGTCATCAGTATGAGATATGTTGTAGAAGTAGAATTCCGAAAAGGACTAAGTTTCGTCTGGACTTTGGTCTTATAGTCTGCTAAGTCGATACAGTACCTATTATCAGAGCCCTACGTTCCTGTTTTCTTATTTATTATAACAGGAGACGAATCTAGTTCCATACACAAGTCGTATTCTCAAAGATTTCAGGCATAATCGAAACATCTACTTCTTCGTGGCGATCACGCTTGCTGCTACCTATTGCACTGAGAAAATCTATTTAAAAACCCAATTGCAGAATGAGTAACAACTTAACCACTCATGCAATTTAAAAGAGACAGAGCTCATACATCTTTACCTAAACCAACTCAAATCTACACACCTCTCATTCACACCCACTTCACCTTCATAAGTCAGAAAGAGAAAGCATATTACAACAACAATAACTAGAATATAGTAATGTATCATATTACACTATCTTTTCAATAAAAGCAGAACGTCGAGATTCCACGGATTTTCTCCTTTACGTATATTCGTAGCCTCTGTCTGTATAAATAGGGGCAGCCCTACATACATATACGTATAGGGTTGCCTCTCTATAAATCGTATATGTAATATGGAGAGAGAAAACTGCGAACAGATTCCGCAAAGGTTTATTAACACGGTATGGGTAGGGTTGGCGGTGAGAGGTTTTAGTTGAGGGAAATTATACATGATGTTTTCTTATTCACAACTTTATTGTCTAACTTAATCTTAATTTAAAATATCTTTAAGATTAATAACGGTTAATGATGACATGATGACAATACAGATCAACACAACTTCGTTATTTTATTTGTGTTTAGTTTCTATAGTTACTTTCTATCTCCATACAGAACTATGTATATAAACTTACACCTAACGAGTTTTCATCGGCCTAATAAATAGACGTAGAACTTTTTGTAAATAAAAACTCGGCGAAACGTTGTGAATATCGGCAACCCTATCAGTATTGCAGGGTCGCGCGTCACAGCGGATCGATAGCAGGGATGTGGTGCGGATTACCATCGGCAATACTCCTCGATTACACGGATCAAATATATTTTTTGTAATGTTAACACAATTGTACGGTTATGTAGTAAATATGTATAAAGATTATGGTTGTTTAAAATATGTATTTTGTTATAACCTTATGTTAATGTGGTATAATAATATACGGGCTTATAGGACTGCACTTTGAGTAATTTATTCAGCTCAATTTTGACCAACGAAAAGCCTAAATATTACTAAGGGTTCATGTAGGTAGAGCTTACATCTTAAAGAAAGAATGAACTTATTACTGTGTACTAAACCAATCAAATTCGACCTGTTTTCTTACTACCTAGAAGGGTTAATTTACGTACCTAATTTTTCACATCGTATCGTATCGTAGTTAGGTTAACCTAGTATTACTGAATCTACATTTCCTTCAAAGTGATTCTAAACTGTCTTCTGTTTTTCAACAGGCGAAAAACCCCACAAATGCCAAGTCTGCGGCAAGGCCTTCAGTCAGAGCTCGAACCTGATAACACACTCTCGCAAGCATACTGGATTCAAGCCATTTGCCTGCGAGCTCTGTGGACGAGCATTCCAGAGGAAGGTGGATCTGAGGAGACACAAGGAGACCCAGCATGCTGACCTGAGACCCCCTCAGCCGCCGCACATGCAGCCCCATACTGATGTGCATGGCATGCATCCTACTGAAATGCACGCTGTGCCTGACCATCGAATAGGTAAGATTTCATTTGGTGATTTGTTTAATTAAAATAAAATTAAATATACATCCTTATATATCCGTTTGTTTGTTCCGCTTTCACGCCGTAACTTCTAAACCGATTGCTTTGAATTTTTGCAGACGTAAATTAGGAAGTCTGAATTAAATAATAGGGTTCTTTTTATCCCGGAAAAATTTGATATTCTCGAGGGAAAACAAAAGAATTGGTATAGATGGCGCTGTGTGTATTGGTATATGTCACATAGGCTACTTTTTATCCTTTTGTGACGCGAGCGAAACCGCGGGTAAAAGCTAGTAACAGCGTCTTATAGACGCAGTGCAGTATATTTGTCAACATTCTTACTCTTTCAACGGTTGTATTATGTTAGAGTCGATTAAGGGACTACAGACAGATATCAGGCAGTATTACTCCCTTAAATGCAATATTCAAACTGACTGCCAAAAATATATATGCAGATTTAGTCAAACCCTATTATGGAAAGAAATCCTATAGAATAGTGGACTGTCATGAGCTGTTCACGTTTCCTGAGACTTTAAAAGACAATACTAATTCAACCTTTCTCCAACAGATCTCCGTCCCCCACACCCTGATCTTCGCCAGCACCCTGACTTCAGAGCACACATGAGCACCGCAGTCCCTCCTCTGCAGCCACTACCATCCTGAACCTCAACAGCCTTCGCGCCAACTGGCTGGCGTTAAGGCTTGAAGATGGAGTAGAACATGATAGAGCGATGTGGCAGTGACCAGTTTTAACAGTGACTTCCAAAAATTTTGATCTTTTTTTTTCATGTCAAAATTCGTTTTAAACACGATGTCGTGTCGTAAGCCTGTCGTTACGTAATGACTAAATATCTCGCTCACTTCGTCGTGTGCGAACGGTTCGGTTATTTGTACAGGGACGTACTCAGTTTCATTTAATGTCGTAAGTTATTTTCAAGTTCAAAATTATAGACGGCGTTCGGTTTATTTTATAAAAATTATGTTTACAAAACGTGATATGTTTTCGTTGTTATTTTATTCCTTTTTTAATACTCAATAATGAGCTCACGATGTAGTGTGGTTTCAATAGTGTTTTGTTTAAAATATATCATATAGATAGCATTTTTTGTTTTAAATACAATCTTATTTTTGTTTATTATGAATTTTCAAGTCAAATGTAGTGAAAAAGCATTTTTAATTTACAATAAAGTGGTTAATGATTTGAACTAATCCATTCCACATCGCTTTACGGGGCAGTGTAAAATATTTAATAGGAAACCAACATATAGTATACAAATAAATACATTTTATTGTTACCGCAGCTCTTATAAGTAGATATAATCAAATTATTATAATAAAAAAATGTTAACGCTTTGTAATTGTGAGTTTTTTGATCTCAAAATAAACTACAGAATAAAGTGTTTTAATGTAAATGTTGTTTGTGTTGCATTAATGTAAAATATAATCAATCTTATGTAATAATAATCACAGTTCAGAGAAGAATTATGTAAGTATCTATGAAATATTTCAGAAAAAAAATACTCAGTATAGGAAAAACTGCAACACAAGCAATTATTTTAGCGGGCGATATCCAAAGAGCACAAATGTTTAAGCAATTTTGAGGCACCTAATTGTAAAGTCACAAAATGTAATGGACTGACTGATGGAATCATTCCAAAATATATTTTTTTTCTTTAATTATCTAGACATGAACAACTTAATTATAAGAAATGTCTTTATTTAGAGACTCCGTGTTTATTCTATTTTTATAATTATTGTTGTTTATTGACATCATTCCGTGTTATTGTTTAACAAAAATAGAAATTAGTAAATATAATAAACATTACCACCACTTTCAGCATCTCTATTTTATAGTCCAATCTTAAATTGGAATAATATATGAAATATTATGGCAACTGCAATAGATTAATAATCAAACATTATACCAAAGTACATTACCCAATATTAATAGTAATGCTTATAAAATAATTATGTGTCATATTATGATAGTCGAAATAATTTCATTAGAATAGAATTATGATAGAAAAATACTCGCATATCAATATTATATTCATTTATTATATTATTATATCTAAATGAAATCGAATTATGTAAAATATTTAGCTGATTATAGTTAAGAATTAGTTTAAAATGTACAAAAAATGTTGTCTATTTTTATGGCTGTAATCTTTTGTAAAAGCACTTAGATTTAATTCATTGTATTTGTAATTATACTTTGGCTGTTATTTTTGTTCAGAACAAAACACAATTTTATTATTCTAAATTCCAGATATAGATTCCATTTATCTGCATTCCAGATTTTTCATATAAAAATAGAAAATATAAAAAAGACATTCTAGCATTCCATTTTTTTAAGAATGTTGATGATTTTTTCGACATGTTATTCGATTCTTCCACAATTATTTTTATGTACCTACACATATTTCACTTAAAAATATGTAATTTGCCATAACCTAATTGTAAATAAATATTTAAATATTGTATTTTAAAGAAAACTTCTCGTCAAAATTTTTAAAATAAATATGTAATAAACTCATTGTAAATATTGTATAGAACATAAAACTAGTTACGTTAACGATCCCAAAGAAATACGTGCAATCCTATGGTCGTAATTTACCAGTTATTATTATAAGTAACTGTCACTTCAATAAATATGATGATGTATTAATTATTTTGTATTATTTCACACCCTTTTCTACTGAAACTGAACCTTATTATCATATCGAAACAATCTACTAACACTTAACACAATTGTAAAAGAAAAACACGTAACACACACACACAGACACACACACACACAGACACACACACACACACAGACACACACACACTTCGTTTCAAAAAGAGCCAGTACACGTAACAATCACTTTTAATCACCTAACCTACCTAGGTAAAACTTATCTAATTGAAGAATACATTTATTATAATATATACTACAAATAACCTAACCTACCAGTATAGACTGGGAGAACAGCATACCAGTGATGATGCAATGTCATTCAGATTATTTCGTTATCATTAAAAAATCCAGGAACACTGGTGTGGATACACTAGGCAAGCAATGAGGAACATCATCAGATCGAAGATCAATAACATATATGGGAACAACACAACATCAACATTTCAATGATGAAAATTCTCTAACAAAAATATTACGCAGAAAATAATATATTTTAAATTCAAAGCTTATAAAAATAATTATGTAAATACAACTCAAGGTGTTGTTGATCTTAATTCTATTCCGGTATCAGTTTGACGCGAGGGGGATAGGCTTTTATATTATAGACGCTTCTAAAGTTACATTGAAGACATGGAAGTATTTTTAAAAATAATAATTCTTCTTATATTAAATTAAAAAAACGAGGGCTTGGATAAATATTAAAACAGGCAACATTTCTTATAGAATATACTCTTGATCAAGGGCAAGATACCTAAGAAGGGAAACGGTGAAATAATATAGAACTAGTTTCGGAACAATTTAGGGTCCATTCAAACTATTCACGTCTACATGGCGTCTACTGCAAACAAAAACCTTTCATCAATGACTTCCATGTCTTTCAATGCAAAGTGTACTCCATTAAGCCATAAGCTAATCATAATTTTAGGAAAATATCAGTGAATATTGCTTTGTGACAACATTTTCAATGTAACAAACTCACATGTTTGTTTCAGAAAAATAATATTTGGTAATCTCTCGAGCTTAACCAGCCCCATTTTTCCGCAATGTTATTCTTACACTCCAATTTCAACGCAGAACCCTAAATTAATCCAATTAAATGGCACCCGATTCCGTATAACAGTATGTTTGTCTATAACCGTCAATGTTTGCGACGCTATGATCGATTGATCATTAACCTAATGGCTGATGTATCGAGGGTTTTTTAATGCTTATTAACTTCGTTGTACTTTTATTTTTAGATTATGACATTTGATGAAATACTACTCTGTCCTTGTTGGTTCTTCCTCTTGGGAGTTAAAGGTTTCGAACTTTGATATTTTACAATAATTTAATTAAGTAACTGAATATATTTTGTGTTACAGTTTTTAAGGTGATGGCTTGAATTAGTCGACCACATTCATAAAATGTTATGATTTACACGATCATTATATTATTATGTATAATAGTCAATATTATTTCATTTAACCTGAATCAGACCCGAAAACACTTGCCGGTCGCACTTGCAACCACTCAGCGAACGAGGCAGAGCATTGAGATAGGTTATTGAAACTGGTAGTTCTTTAATAAACTTGAAACAGATGAAAAAACAATCTTAATTTCAACAAAGACAAAGACAAAGCTCAACCAATACATATAAAAACAAAAAAGGACTCCTACACAAAAAAGAACGATACACCAGTACGAGTATTCACAAAGCCAGAATAAAACCCGTAACTCCATTCTGTGTTTGATTACGTTACACAAAAAACCTAGTTAGATTTGTAGTAAAGCGGGAAGGAGACGGTCCCGTGGGTCCAGACGAACGCTAAACGCCTGTTAGCACGCACTGAGGGACGAACTCTGAGCCGGACCGTTGTTGTGCACAGGGCGGAATTTTGATCTTTAGCGTCTAATATCATGAAAAGTGAAGGTGTAAAATTGCATTTCAAGGTGTATGATTTATATCATGATTCGAGATTAATTATAAATTAAATATTATTCGAGATTATGAGATGATTAATTTAATCATAATATTGTATAAATTAATTGAATCATAATGTAAAGATGATGAGGTGAAAAATGATTAATTTAATCATAATAATGTATAAATTATGATTATTATGATTTGAGCAAAGTATTACTGGTTTTATTAAGTTATTATTACTCAGTAGTAGCACGGAGTCTGGAATTGTGGGTATACAACAATTGGCTCACACCCTATTACATGGGACTCATAACATAAATAGTGAAAATGGGTGTTACATTGTACAGTGGTATTAAGTGCCGTAATGTGCACCTTTGCTTATCCTTTTAGAGATAAAAGGCGTGATGTTCTTGTTATTCTGATTTAAAATACAATGTATACGTAAAAGAGAAATTAATGGTGATTGAATGTGGAGTAATGAAAATAAATTAATTCACTTTTTAATACCTACTTAAGTATCTAAATAATTAACATAGGTAGATACCTTTTTACACAACTGAAGAAAGGGTTTTATTTTTCATTCGTATCTTGGCTTATTTATCAAATCAAACTGTATATATTTTTACTAGCTTGTTATGTTCGTGATAATTATAATAGTAATTAATAGTTCTATTCATTCTCTATCTATTGTCACTTGTTCAAACAACAATTAGTATCTCCTATTCTTCGTATGTGTAGTCTAGTTTTGTACATATGTCTAACGGTTCCATGGTGTAATGGTTAGCACTCTGGACTTTGAATCCAGCGATCCGAGTTCAAATCTCGGTGGAACCTGACAAAACATATTTTCATACATTCTTAAAAAATAGTAAAATTTTTTTTATTAAAAATACAACTCTTTGAGCAAAAATTTTGCTTAAAAAGCCGATAAAATACCAAACTTTTGCCTTTTTAATAATAAGTAAATAAAAAAATTGTGTATTAGAAAAAAATATGAACGTCAACTATTACTATATTAATTTTGCTATTAATTATTATTATACAAATAAAATTCATCAACCAAATTCTCTGCATAAGTAA